AGCACAAGCAAAGACAAGGGTGTGAGAGAGAATGTGGTCAGTAGAGTAAGAGGGCCAGGGAGAGACCAAGTAGTGCTGGGAGAAGTAGGCTGAGGTCAAGTCTTGTAGGGCCCTGATCAAGAGCCAGCGGGGAATGGCCTCAGGTTTGTACTTGAGGAAATCGTCTAGCACTGAGAATGGATTGTGTTGGGATAAAATGAGAAGACCAGATTAAAGACTGGTGTGATACATTATGGGAGAGCTGTGCCAATGGAGACAGAATCTTGGGAAACCCCGTATTTTGGGGACACTGAGGAACTGTCTCTGTCATTTGCTAAGGACTTTGTTAAGTACAGTGTAAACTCTAAACCATGTCAATTCAGTGTAAGTTTTTTTTCTTTATTGTTATAGATGTCTTCATTTTCCCCTCTTTTGTCCGCCTCCACCCAGCCTCTCCCCGACCCTGGCCCCTGCTTCTGGCCATTGCCACGCTTTTGTTTGTGTCCTTGCATTACACATATATGTTCTTTGTTCTATCAATTGTTAAATTTGCAGTGAAAAGAGTGGAGGATGGATGGGATAAAAACAAGGATCAACCCACACTTACCTTTATTCTAGAATCCCTTTTACTGCTGCACAGATTACTACATATTTATTCTTTGGTATTCTGTGAATTGTTGCATTGTTTATGTGTGATCAAAATTTCCCCAAATTGCTCACATAACATAAGAAATCCTGGCCCTCTAGGAGCCTTAGGATCTAGAAATTATAGTGAAAAGTCAAACATCTCAAAACAAAACAATCCACAAACCCACACTGCATAGAAAAGGCTGTTTGCATTCTTGATTTTTATGGTTCACTGAGTTAATGAAGAGAACTTCCTGTGTTTTCAAAGTTCTCAAAGCTGTTCAATGTAGTGAGATGTTACGGTAGTCCTGGTAGATGAGACAGACCAAAGTCATTTATTCATTCAATAAATAATCAAGTACGCACTAGGTGTTAGGTGTAAAACAATGGGCAAAACAGATGATCCCTGGTATCATGGAGCCTACATTCTAGAAGATGGAATGTTGTATGATCTTGATGAAAAATGGTAAAAAAATTTTTCTTCCAAGTATTTTTTTTGACATAAGAAGGTAATGTTACAGAACAGACAAGGGGGACCTGGGACAATATACTATTATTGAAAGAAGGCCCTGGGTCCGTTATGTCCGCCGCCCTAGGAAAGATGTCTCTCAATGCCAGAGATTCGTGAAAAGGAAAGGAAATGTTTATTTAATGCTATACAGACTTCAAGTAGTGACCTAATGTCTTTATCAAAATCCTAAAGTCCCTTAAAACACCCTATAAATCAGATACAGTCCTTCCTTCCTTCCCCCTTTGCCCAGTCCAGAGTACCGTATCTCAGGAAAGGACACAGAAATCCATGACTCAGGCAGTCCTCTGGTTCTTAGTTAGTCCTCCATCTCGACTGGGAGACCTCCCTGGGTTCCCGGCACCCTCTGCTGAGTCGCCGGTATCTCTGCTAAAACCAGGTGGTGGTTCCCCCTTCTAAAGCTGTGGGGGTTTTCACTCTGGCACAGGTACGTGGTCCTCTCTCCCAGGGCCACGGGAGTCTCCACTCTGTCAAGTCCGCGTGGTTCTCCTCCTCGGATGCGGGAGTCTCCACTCTGTCCAAAGCCGCGTGGTTCCCCCTCCTCAGGGCTGCGGGAAGGGAGAGTCCCCACTCTGTCCAAAGCCACGTGGTTCCCCCCTTCCCAATGGCCGCCAAGTCTGGGTTTTAAATCCCCATGGCCAATCTTCCTCTGCAGCCTCATTTCCGACTCCTCCCACACTCGGCCTCACATGCCAGAATTCATATCCTTCCAGCTTTACTGGGCTGCCATCATGAGTCTGGGCAGGTGTGGCCCCATGTCCTGGAGCCAATCTTCTCCAAGCTCCCACGCAGGCCCTGTAGCTTGGGGGATCTGCCCCCAGTCACGTCTTGGTGGGGAAGTTACTTCCATTCCCCTGGCTCAAAGATGATCACAGCTATTTAACATATCCATGCAACCAGCCAAAGGCTATAGATATGTTAAATGACCACACCAGAGCTTAGCTGCAAGGCTGTTGCTATGCAAAACAGATCTCAATGGCCCTGCTCCATTTGTCCCTTCCCCCAACCCACACCCTGGGTGGGGGGGGATGGGAGACATCTTAAAATCTCCTGGACACCTTAAGTTCTGGACCCCATTTCAAATGCCCATTTGGGGTCCCCCCTCTTGGCTGCACCCTGTAACAGTAACACAGGAAAAGAAGGTATGATGTATCTTTGTATCAGATATCTTTCTGATTTGTTTCTTAGATTATAAGAGATAGCATGGTGTTGTGAAGATCCTATGAGAGTTAGAACATTACTAATGCTTAAGGTATAGTGCTTAATTGCAGTTAGCTATTATTTACGTAATGGGATAATTGAGTTATTTTGCCAATCTTACTGACTAATGTAGATTACCTCTAATTCATCTCCTAAATGCCACCTAGGAGCTCCATTCAGTAGCCGCACTACCGTCATCGTCTTGACTAGACTTTGACAGTAGCCTCCTTCCCGGTCTGTCCGCATCCTTTCTCTGTCTCCCCAATCAGTTTTCTGCTTTCCAGCCAGAGTACAATTTATGCTGTTAAATTAGTTTCCTGTTGCTTCTGTAAAAATTTCAGCGAACCAAGTGGCTTGATGCAGCAGAAATTTATTACCTCCCACTTCTGGAGGTAAGAAGCCCAAAATCAGTCCCACTGGGCTAAAATAAAGAGGCTGACAGTGCTGTGTTCCTTCTGGACGCTCCAGGGACGATGTGTTTACTCGGCATTTTCTGGACTCTGGAATGGGTCACGCTGGACTCGTGGTCCTGCAGCACTCGGACTGCTGCTTCCGTTATCACACCTCCTTCTTTGATGCGTCTGCCCCTCTCTTTCACTTATAAGGAATCTTCTGATTTTATTGGGCCCAATAAGAAAGTCCAGAATGATCTTTCCATCTCAAGATCCTTAATCACATGTGAAATGTTACTTCGACTTATAAGGCTACATATTCACAGGTTTGGGGAACTAGGGGATGGAGATTTTTGGAAGGACACTATTCTGCTACCATCATGGTATAGAACACTGTCTAGAACACTGGTGGAAGTGAGTTTCATAATTAATTAATTAATTCAGCATAAATATCTTCTCCTGCATAAAGCCTTTCTATTGCTTCCTATTACTTTTAGGATTAAAGACTTCAGTCCCTACTGTGGCCTGGGGGTCCCCATGGCCTAGCCAAGCCTGGTGCTTTCCTGGGCCTCCCGCCTCTTTGTGGGCTCTTCTCCCCGTTGCTCACAGAACTCCGCTCCATTTCTTCCCAGCCCCTCGGGACCTTGCTGTGGCCTCTGCTTCCAGCAGCCCTCTGTCCCTTCCTCCGAACCCCGCTGGCTGTTTTCCTGCCCCTCGCCATTTGGATGGTAGAGCAAACTCTGCTTCCCTTAAGGAGCATCATCTTGGACTTTTCTCTGCTGGTTAAATATTCTACTGGGACACAGTCCTGGAACCTGGGCTTCTCCTTCATGGCACTTGATCACAGCTTGCGATTGTTTATTGGTGTTCTGATTTGTTTCATCTGTAAGCTCTATGAAGGCAGTGGCTATTTCTGTTGTATACTCAATGCCAATCATTTATTTGGTGCTCAATAAATATTTGTTAAAGAGACGGGCTTAAAATGAAAAGACAGTGTGCCTGTCAAGTAGCTCTTGGTTTTGTTTATCACTGTAGTATTTTTGTAGCCACAGGAAGAATGGGTTTCAGGTTATGGGTTTTGGGAAGAATGGGAAGGGTTTGTTCAATAATGGAAAATAGGAGATTGATAATTATTGAGTAAAGCAACCCAAACCTTTTTATTCATTTTTCAATAAAGGAGTTAATTTCACTATTTTGTAATTTTAAGATCCCTCTTCCAACTCTTTAAAAATATGTTTAAGGTTTTTAACAGTCTAGTATGAACATATAGAGTCTCATAGGCTAGGGACTCCATTGAATTTTGAAGTCACCTTCATTCAGAGTTGATGTCATGTTTCAGGGAAGGTTGTCCTGGGTTAGGTCTGTGGAGCACTGAGCACTGGTGTTCAAAAGCAGTCCGCCAAACTGCCATGCAGTCATCACTCAGCGTATGTCAGACTGGTTTTCTGTAAGAAAATGTTTTACAACAGAAAAAAATTGTTTTATATTTTGTATCTGACTCAACTCAGTTGTTTTATATCAGAAATTAATCTGATATAAATTTTCAGATTAATTTTTATAATTTATAATTTATAATTTTAGTTTTATATTTTATTAAATTATGAGTTTTTATATTTTAATTCTTTTTAATTTTAATTTTGCATTTTAATAAATTATGAGTTTTCCCATTTTTAAGCTTGATTTATATTTATGCAACTTTAATCATTATAGTTTCCCATTTAAGCTACAGTATTTCACCCTGATGTACTAAAGTTTATGTTAGTTATCAGCTTTGTTGCCAATTCAATGAACTTTCTGAAAGAAAGAGAACAGAACTTTTGGAACTTAAAAGTGCTTTGAAGCATTCCTATTCTATGAGAAAAAATTACTTGGAGAAAATCAATTTAAAAGCATATTCTTATCATATTTTTCTCTATCAACTGATTAATATTATAATTAGTCAAACAACTTTTAAGTCAGAAATCTCTATTACATAAATCTGTATACCATATCCATTTTTCACACTATATATAGACAATTTCACATGTTATATATATTGTGAAATACTATTTATCTTTCTGTTTCTGTCTGTAGTGTGATAGTCACTGATGTTTTATTTTTTAAAGCTTTTTACTGGACTTGATAAAAATTCATAAAACTTATTAACTTTCAGTTTTTAATCTCTCTATGAAGATAAACTAGTACTTAGTATTCATTTTTTTTTGTTTTTAGCTTACCTTTGGTTGTTGTATAAGAATCAGTCTTTATGAAATGCATATTCTCTTTCCTTTTAGAGTATGCTGGATAAAGGACATTGTGGTGGCAGTCACTGGGGAGAACATGGAAGCAATGGAGGGCATTATTCGGCGGTACCAGCATAAGCGCATCTCCCTCGTCGAGGCTGGAGTGACCCGCCACAGGTCGATATTCAACGGACTGAAAGCGCTGGCCCAGGATCAGCTGGACTCGAAGCTCTCGAGGCCAGAGGTAGTGATTATCCATGACGCTGTGAGACCGTTTGTCGAGGAAGATGTCCTCTTTAAAGTTGCCGCAGCTGCTAAGGAACATGGGGTAAGTGTTTACGCTTAATGAGACTAGATAAGAGAAGCAAACACTATAGAGTGGTTCATTTGCTGAATTTTGTTGAAATTATATTTACATTTCAAGTTATTTAAAATGGGCATGTCGATCTAAAGATGGTAGGGTAATTTGTTTTGGGAACTTTGTAGTATTATGGACTGTGAGACTGTTCTGGAACTTGTCTTTGCTGGAGTCATTTATCACCACAATGTAATATGAGCTATTTGGAGAAGAGTGTAGTAGTAATGTCAGTAAAATATGGAAAATATCTAAGAAATCACTCAAAAATCTGGCTCATTGCATCCAAATTTTGTGTTTTGAGTTTTCAGAAGTGGTTTATTTTATAGCAGAACAGCCACATAAGATTTTTGCACTCTGTAAAGTGAATCATCTTAAGATAACAGAATTGAAGGAGATCAGAAACTATGAACAATAAAATGACAACAAACTCACAACTATCAACAACTGAACCCAAGAAACAAAAACAAAAACTGAGCAAACAACTAGAACAGGAACAGAACCGAGAAATGGAGATCACATGCAGGGTTTTTAGTGGGGAGCAGTGGGGGAAGAACGTTGAGGAAAAGGTACAGGGAATGAGAAGCATAATAGGTAGGCATAAAATAGATGGGGGTAGGTTAAGAATGGTATAGGAAACAGAGAAGTCAAAGAACTTATACATACAATCCATGGGCATGAACTAAGGTGGAAGGAATGCTGGAGGGTTGAGGGGTGCAGGGAGGAGCGGGGATAAAGGGGAGAAAAAAAATGGAGAAAACTGTAATAGCATAACCAACAAAATATACTTAAAAATAACAGAATTGTTTTTACTTTTATTTCACCAGAGTAACCATAGACTTGCAAAAGACCTGTAATCTCTAGAACATGTGTTTTTCTTATGCTATCAGGTAAAATTCTATAAATAAAGTAATAGACATTAAATTAAGTCCACAGTCTAAATTTCAGACTTAGTGAAAAATTATCACTCAGACTTGGTATAGTGTGATAGAAATGATCTGTGGGGTCTGACAGACTTAGTCCCGATTTTCAGTTTTTCTAATTACTAGCAGTGGAATGTGTTCAACTTTCACAACCTCTTTGGGCCTGTTTTCCTTACTTATAAAGCTATATGTAAGGTTTTTAGGATAGAAAACTTATAGGTTAACTTTTAGTAAAGTTCTAAATACTTACAAATGGTATTATTTTAAGATGAATGATAACATCTCTATAATAGAGTTTCCTCCAAGGAGTGTAGAATAATGGAAGGAATCATCCAAGCCTTCCTAGCCATCCAGCAGGCCAGGAAGTTATAAAATATTCATCTGGGAAAGCCAGCCTATGACTTCTCCTAAGTTAACTATATGTATTTGGATCATGTAATTAGGAAATGTTCTTTAATTTCATCTCTTTTTCCTGCAACACGGATTTATTTAAATTTAGAACTGTGGGAGACTTCCGTAGATCAAATGAAACATTTTGATTTCATTAACATGGCTTCTAAATGGTATTTTGTTATAGTGAAAACTTGGTCCAGGAGCATTAGGGACCACAAAACTTTCTCATGGTTCTCATGCTTCTTCTGGGACCGCTTTCTGCTTCTCCAGCCCCTCCGCTGTGGCAGAGACAATGTAGTCCGTTAAAAAAGTGGTGAGCAGCAATAATGTAGCAAAGAATTTCTAACTCCTAGGAATCTGAGTCAAATTTTACAATTTGAAAACTTCCTAGGGAAGACTACATAATTTGGGCAGATCGTTAGAAGTTTTAACGCATATTAAATACACATAAAAATACGGCTCTTTGCCTATTTTACCTTTGGGAAAATATTACTCAAGCTGACTGTAAAATTCACACATATTTGGAATTTTCTTGTTGAGTATTATATTTGTGAGAGATTAGTTCTAGGAGATTGTCTATAAAGTGTTTCTTTGGGGTATATGTCTGACAGGGCAAATGAGGCCTTTTAACTTGCTTCACTTAATAAGTTAAGGAGGTGATGCATTTCACACAGATGTAAGTGGAGCATGTATTAAGGATTTTACTTAACTCATTAAAGAGGGAACAAGACATGTTACAACTGTTGAGAAGTACAGATTTATGTGAAATAAAGGAATGGTGAAATGAATTCACAAGTAAGCAAAACTGCTTTTCCAGGAAGGAAAGTTGTCCACTGGACCTGCATGGGACAGGAATTATTCGCATGTTTATAGATAAGAATGATTTTTGCATTGCTATCAGTTATCTCTAATTTCTGACAGTTATAAAAGAGCCCGAAGGTAAAGAAAAGCTAGATTGAGCTAATCTGAAAGGGTCTGCTCTAAATAACATGTAGTTTTCCGTTGGAGACACTCAGTAATATTTTTTTGCTTATTCTAAATTTCCTTATAGTGGTTAGGATAGTCACCAGATAACCTCAGAAAATCCAGGTACTCCTTCCTGCTAACTCTCCTACTGCTTTAAACATAAAAATATAAATGCAATTAATAGAGTCTTATACTAGTAGTTGAAGTTCTTACATTGATAGGAACTATTGACATCTTTTATAATCACTGGCCAATAAATTGGAAAAGCTTGGTTTGAATCAAATGCTATCCCAAGCAAGGGAAGAGTAATGACTGCTTAGTCAAAGCCACTGCACAATTTGTTTTTCATGGATTCCTTTGGGCTCCTTCTTTTGTATTTTCTTAAATTATATTCTATAGACTCAGAACTGGCTTTCTTGTTTTCTTAGTCCCTGTTTCAATCTCTGCCAGAAGGTCCCATTCACATAAATCATTTTCTACATAAGCTACACAGTGTAACAGCCCCTAAAAATATACATGCTAGGTAGTGTATTTAGGTAGTATACATGCTAAAGGTAACTGTGATATATTTTTTAAAGTTTGTATTTATTTATTTTTAGAGAGGGGTAGGGAGGGAGAAGGAGAGAGACAGAAACATCAATGTGTGGTTGCCTCTTGAGCAGCTGGGGACCTGGCCTGCAACCCAGGCATGTGCCCTGACTGGGAATTGAACTTTGGTTCACAGTCCAGCGCTTAATCCACTGAGCCACACCAGCCGGGGCGGTAACTGTGATATTTTGACTTACATCACATTTTGGATAAAACAAAACAAAACAAAACAAAATAAATTGATGAAGGTAAATTACCTCAAGAAACTATGATGTCCAAAATCAAGTGTGACACAAGAGTCGCCTGCATGCAGGATCTCGAAAGGATCACAAGGACACAGTTTCGCCCTCTTCATTGTGTCTGCACCATTCCTGGGTTCCACAGACTTTGTGTGACCTCAATGAGACCAGCAGTGAAATCCTTTTAGTGTTTATTCAGCCTCACTCTTGATGATAGAGGAACTGAGATTTATATAATAACCAGAAATTGCGACATGTGGTGTGTGGGTGTATTTTTATGTGATCTCTGTGGATTCTGTAGCCTGACTATATTTATCGATGATTGATAGCACTTTGGCAATTCTTTTAAGTTTAGTATGTGTGCATCAGGAAGAACATGCTTTCCCACTACTTAGTTTTACAACTTTATGCAGTATAATCTGGGCATGTTCTAAAATAAAGATGGAAAACCACTTGGCAGGTTTTGACTGGTTTTGGACGTCTGACATTAGGTAGAAGCAACCATGGCTAATAATCACTTGTACTTGATCCCTGTTGGATAGTTTTGATCATGAGCAAGTGCACTGAAGGTCAGAGCTGAGTCCTGGGTGGAGTTCAGGTAATGAGCCGTTCTGGGTCATTGGATCCTGTGTCATTATCTATTGAAGAGACGCTGTGGTGTTGATTTAAATCCTGGCTCTAATGAAGCAGTTTTATTTGTGAGTAAGCAGTGAGTTATGATTTAGTGGGACATTTTAGGCTTACTCTGACAAAGATTTAAATGCCCAGGAAAGGTGCTGAGCTATTCCTTAGCTGCCATGGGATGAGGTAAGACTTGATCTGGTTCTGATGCTAGAGAACATAGTGTGTGGAAAAAGTTTTCATTTTACTTCATTACTTGGAATTACCAACACCTGTATATATGTTCAGTGAATTACCTTAAAATGAAGTTGGGGAAGGGGATCAAGGCAAGATGAGTGTATCCAGGGATTAAAATGAAATTTACATATCTTAGTGTACAATAATATACCTGATCATATTAGGTTTGAGGTAAATGTTACTAGTTTAACTTCTAGGAATTAAATTTCAGTGCAGGATGGGGCAAAAGTGGGTTTACAACTGTGAGTACGTGAAACAGTCTATTCTTGTTTTATTATTTATTAATTATCATATTATTTTCCATACAAATAGTTATAAACCTACTCTCTGTATGTAAGCCCACTCTATATGTAAAACGAGGACTCATTATTTTTTGCTGCATATTCACTTTTACGGGTATTTTGTAGTAATATAGTAACTTGGACAGAGCTTTTTCTAAAATACCTATATTTCTATATTGAAAAAATAATAGATTCTTTTAACTTGTCCAAAAAGGAGTTTAGAAGTATTCTATTATAAAATATTAAAAATCTTTTTTTTAAAAAGATTTTATTTATTCATTGTTAGAGAGAGGGGAAAGGAGGGAGAGAGAGAGAGGGAGAGAAACATCAATGTGTGGTTGCCTCTTATGCACCCCCAACCAGGGACCTGGCCTGCAACCCAGGCATGTGCCCTGACCGGGAAGAGAACCGTGACCTTTCTGTCTGACTGTGTTCAATCCACTGAGCCACACCAGTCAGGGCAAAATATTCAAAATCTCGTAATTGCCAATGATTAGCTTTGAATATGTTATTCTGTAAATATTTACTAAGCCCTTCAGTAGAGACAACTCAGCTAACTGAAATTGTAATTACAAGGCCGGAGGATTCCTGTTGTATGTTGTCACAATTAGCTTGAATGCAGATGCCTGAGGAGGAATGCTTGTTAGCATCTGCTGTGTGGATGGATAAGTATTGTTCAATTTTGCTTTTAAAAAATGAATAAGTAGAGTTGGGATTCATTATTCCACATTGTATGCTTTATATATCTACGATCATTTCTGTGCATTGACATGTGGAAATACTTTGATAGATTAGTCTGAGAGGCAAGTAATCACTGTGGTGCTGGGCTGTTAAGCTTCCAATCTGAGCTTATTATGCTAATTCCCAAGGAGACAGTGTATTTGATAACTTGGGAGTCTGGCTATGTATAACAGACTTCTCAGATCACTATATTTGGGAGGCAACTAACTGTCATTGTCCATACTTTCGTGATATTTGATGCCTCTTCTAAGATCCTGTGTCTTGCCTCGTAAACAACCACTGCACCACTGCTTTGGAGCTGATGGGTGGGCATGATGACTTGTTTCTTTCAGAGCGCTAACCCTTCTTCATGCGCAAGGTGCTGCGTGGGGGCATTAGAAGACTTGCATATTCTCTTTTTGCTTCTTCTGGTACAGAACCCCTGCACTATGTGTGATCTGGGACAGCAGAGTGGGGCCCCCGTATCTCTGCCTACCATTTCCAGGGCAGGTCCTCACCCTGTAGGTGGGCGTTTCCAGCCTCTGAGCCACACTTGCGTTGTTTAGCCTCTATGAGTGACATGGAGCTGGGTGTGATGGGACACGTTAGCACTCTGCTTCTCCTATTGGGAACAACGGAGCCAGGACCCTATTTTTTGGTCGTGCCTGTTCTAAAAGGAACTTCAGGCACACTCACCCGGGTGTGGAATGAGGGAGGAAACAGATCACGACTCGAGTACCACGGGCTCTCTCTGTTCAAACCCAGATTCAGTAGATTTTCTTTAATAAATGTTTCCTACTTTGCTGAATACCCTTAGGACAGTTTTCTAAGGCTTTTAAATGGTTGTTTTTTAAAAATGCTTTTTACTAGTTCTAGTTGTTTTGCTGGGGAGAGAATCTGCAGAGCCACTCATGTTGACAAGTTGAATGTGTCATCTTCTCTTTCAAATAAATTTTTACTTCGTGGCCTGGCATAAAATTATCTATAAGTAGTTGCAACGGATATTTGATATTTTTTTCTTAAAAAGTAGTATGTGTGTGTGCATGTGTTTCTTTCCTGTTTTGTTTTCTAGCCCCTACTGATCAGCTTGACCAGTTGGGCCAGTTCCTCATCTGCCTTACCTACCTTTCACCTACTTGGACGTAACTTCCTCCCTGTCACCCTCGGTGGTCTCCTCATTTTTTGCTTTTATGCCTATGGTCCAAATTTTTACTTGAGTCATTGGAAATGGTGACACAGTTTGTAAACTATCTATATGACTCATACATTAACTTTGATTTTCAGCCAATCTCTTGGCTTTTATAAACTAAATTATGGACTCTCTTGCTCCCATGTTGGTCTTAAGACCAAATTTGTTGTATTTGTGTATTAGCTTCATGTGCTGCAATCCCCATGTAGCAATTACCTGGAAAATAGGATATTTTGGGTGACATATGAGGAGGTTAGATTTAACTGCCTCTCATGGGAACTGTATTTTAAGGCTACTTCTCCAAGGCAGCTGTTTGGTAATGACCTCTGAGATCTTACAATGAGACTGTATATAGATAAAGGTAAAAATGATCAGATATGAAGGTGTGTTTTTTTAAAAAGGTTAGATGCATCTATTAATGAGACAGTTTTTATCAGAGCAATGGATATTAATGTTTTGTCTGAGTTGGCATTCCACCGATGCTATGTTTGAAGGGAATTGTTTTTCACAGGAATTAGAGCAAGAACTTAAATTCATCGTTACATGGTTGTTGTTGAGTCTCGTTTTGGGGGTCTTAGGGAATATGTCTGTTTCCTCAATTATCTAATGTGTAAACCCTATAGTTTTCTTTCTCCTATGTGCAGGGAATACTCAATTATGTCTTTGCATCCCTTTTTGGTACTTGACTTCAATGGCCTATATAAAAAGGATTTTGATCCTATAATGAAGAAAAGTTTCTACCTCTTAGCACATGGAACTGTACTATTATGAGGTTGGATTTTGAAGTGGCATGGTTTGATTCATGAACCAAATTAACAGTTATTCAGATAATTTCTTGAGTTGAAGGTATGAATGAGGTCTGCTTTCAGAAATAAGAGACAGAGTTTTACTTCAACGTATTTTCTAGGTGAAATAAATGTGTTACTTGTCTTTTTGCTTGTCACTTAGGCAGCGGGAGCCATTAGACCTCTTGTGTCCACTGTCATCAGTCCATCCCCGGACGGTTGCTTAGACCACTCACTGGAACGCGCCCGACACAGAGCAAGTGAGATGCCGCAGGCCTTTCTGTATGATGTGATCTATGCAGCATATCAGCAGGTAAGAATTCTGGCATTTCTAAAAAAAGATTTTACTTACCTATTTTTAGAGAGAGGGATAAGGGAGGCAAAGAGTGGGAGAGAAACTTTGATGTGCAAGAAAAACATTGACTGGCTGCCTCTCCCACACCCAAACTGGGGACTGGGGTGGCTCGCAATCTAGGCATGCGTCCTGATGGAGAATTGAACCAGTGACCTTTCGCTTTTGTGGGACAATGCCCAACCAACAAAGCCACATGGTTAGGGAAAAAATTCTGGCTTTTTAAAAAAGCTGCTGTGTTGAGGGTCACTAAAACCACCCCTATATTTGGAGATTTTGTAGAAGAACTCATGTAGCTCAGTGTATAGTTGTACACATGACTTAATCGATTACAGTGGAGTGGTGAGGATGCACAGCCGATTCTGTGGGAAAGAGACATAGACAGAGAGTGGAGGAATCCGCATGCTGGTTTCTTCATGCTCTCCTTCTTCCCTGGAGGGTAACACAAAGACCACCTTCCCCTGAGCATCAAAAATGCAGCAACATGCACAATGTTTCTCCCCAGGGAAGCCCATTAGAGACTTGGAGTCCAAAGTGTTTAGTGGCGTAGGTCACGTAGACATCGCATCCTACCACATTAAAAAGTTCCAGATTCCCGGAAGGAGAGCAGGTATTTAACATAAATCATACTGTTTATGCAAACGGTCTCAGCTCAGAGAGCCACCCTTATCAGTTAGTTAACGGTTCACTGGGAATACTCCCAGAGCCAATTTCCCAGATGCTGGCCGAGGGCCCACCTAGCTGACAGGTGTTTCTAAGTTACAGCGTTCTCAGGCCTGATGCGGCAGATTTTCTGCACAGCTGTGTAGACATTTTGCTAATTAAAATTTTAGTGGTAAGTTCTTTCAAAGCATCAAATAATTTATTCATGTTTTCATTATCCTGGATTGCCTTTGTTTTGTTTTTCATCTTTTGGAAACATTTTGTACCTATGTAAATGATACTGCCATTAATTTGCATGTTTATTGGTTAAATAGTTACTGAGTATCAGTCATTAGGCTTGTCAGAAACTTCCTCATGAAATATAACTTAGAGACGAACCCAGTGCTCGCTTGATGTTGGACAACAGTAAATATGAGATAATGGCACTATGGATATTGACATTTAACATAACAGAAAAATACTACATATTTTGGCTAGAAGGTAGTTAATCACATACATACATTAAATTATGACAGTCTTGACTATGAGTTACTGTTTAAGAGTGAGATTATGTAAATTAGAATTCATTTTAATGATCTGAATAGTCAGCTGTGGTTTATATTGTATTCTTAAAATAATGAATTTGAAGTATAGGAATTTGTATTTCCTCATTAATCCTATAATTGTTATGCTACTATAAATAACTTTTTTTAATTTAAATATTCCATTTTATAGCCTAAATCTTGCTGAGCTACAATGCATTTCCCATCTTTCCTGAAATGAATGAAAGGATTTGCTTATTCTTCTATAAACATTTACATCAGGAAGAATAAATATATGATAGCTATATTTTAGACAGAAATTTGAATATAATCTCATAGTCTTCACAGTAAAGCATCATTTTTTTTTCAATAGTTTTTGCTGGAGAATTAAGCCCTAATGCACTGAGGTACTGGTTGTCAAATACAAGTTTCTTGTTTTCTGGAACTTGACTGCTCACTTATCTTGCTACGATCCCTTAGATACTAGGTAAATCATCACTTCCCTGCCCCCCTACCCCCTCTCCAGGCTAGGTTAGATCAACACAATATATGTTTTCCCAGTGCTCTGTTTTTCTGCCCACCATCAAAATTATAATTAATTATTTGGGAAATCATTTTTAAAATATGTGACTCCCCTGCTAGATTCTGGGCCCAGAGAGGCAAGGCAGTCTCCGTCTTGTTCTTAGCAACCTGCCTGATATATTGTTAGTACCAAGTACATGTTTGTTCAGTGGAAAAACATAAAAGATGTACATGTGTATAAATATGTTCTTGTTCTTCCCTTTGCCTGGGCCACTTTCTCCAGATAATCACGCTGGTTGTCTCTGTTCTTCACTTAGGTCCTTGTGCACATGTCACCTTCCCCAGGAAGCCCGCCTTTCTAATCTTACATGAAGTAGCATCCTCTATCTTGTATTTCTTTATTCTGCTTTAGTTGTCCTTGTTCGATATCACTTTTTGACAAACCCCTGTTTCTGGCAGGTATTTGTCTCTCCCCATTACTATTATGTCAGTTCCATGGGTGCAGGGACATTTCTTATCTCTAGCATCTGAAAGAGCTCATAGCTTGCATGAGGTTCTTAATGTTGTAAAATGAATGTATTTAATGCATACTTACAAATGTGTATGTAGATACATACTTATATGTTAACACTAATGTCAGTTGTTATATAAAAAGCTCTGCATGGGGATAATATGTATTCACATATGTGTATGTTTATAAATTCTTCCTAGAACATTTAAGAAAATCATCTGAACAATTATTAGAAGTGTGGGCAAAGATTTGTGTATAAAGTTGTTAATGGCAGCATTTTTGTAAGTGTGAAATTTTATGCAGCCTATGTTTCCAGAGATCAATTAGTGATATTCATTGATAAAACTTTTAAAGGGTCACTTAAAGTTGTGTTTTTGTAGAATTTCTGGGAATGAAAATGCTCATGACAGAATGTTATATTAATGATATAACAATGATACAAAGTTATATTAATAATTATATATAAAATATATTTTATATCCTTATAGGTTTAAATATGTAGAAAAATTAATGGCATAATTCATTACTGAAATGTTATTAATGTTTATGTCTGGGTTGGCATTAATTTAAAAGTCATTAAAAATCTAAAGTTACGGTAGAAATATAAGATACATAAGTACTTAAGTATTATTTTTAATGCTTTTTGGGCTTTTTCATGTAAGTAGGTATTTGTTTATTGGTTTTCTTTTGTTGCTTAAAATCATCTAAAAATTTTTAATGACAATTATGAGTTTGCTAAAGGAAAATATAGCTAAGTTAAATAATATCAAATTCAATAGTGAAAATTATAGTCTCTAGGAACATGGAGGCAACCACCAAAATTGGTCCAGAGAATTAATACATATTAAATATTCAAATATATAATTCTTCTATGCAGTTTTAGGAAAAATAAGAATGGTTTATAGAAATAAGCTTTTCAAATTACATCAATCCATTTCTTGAGAAAATTGGTGTGGTCACAGATGGTATTCTGAACTTTATTGTTTAGAGACCTGCATGATTTCTAACACTTAAGATTTAGGTTCGTCTCAGAAAGTGATTTTTAGAACATAACTTGCTAGTTAAGTTTGCATGAAAGATACAGCAGGACTCAACCAATGAAAGAGTTCTTCAGGTTATTAATTATGTACCCTTTGGTTTGATATCTTAGAATTTACTGTGGAAATGTTTAATAGTTAAATATTGTGGCTTCTCAATCTTCATTATAAGAGTTTTTTTAAAGTGCCCATTTAACTTGAAAGGAGACAAGTACCCTTAAGAACCACAATCAAAACAAATCCATCATTAAAGATTCCTGTTACGTTGGTGCAATGTACCAAGATTGGTATGTTGGTACTTTGTTGGTACAAAGATTCTGGTACAACAATGTCATAATCATAATATTAAATGAATACAGCAGGAATGTTCTTTTATAATATTCTGCCCCTATCCATGTACATTAGAATCAATGGAACTCATATCTTGTAATGAGTGCTAACACATTGGGCTTTAAGTGCTGAGTTGACGAGAAACCAGTCAAGAAGAAGGAATGTTTTGAAGCATGTCTTTTCTTTATATCCACAAGCATTACAATTTTCAGAGGTTTTATGGTCATTTTACAGTGTGTAGTTCCCCAAAGGAGGGGGATTTGATGAATGTTTAGTTGGGCCCACTGGATTCAAAGGTGATTAGGGAAAGCCTCAGAAGAAAGTCGCAGAAGAAATCTCACGTTACATGAGATTTTGAAAAGGTCACGTAAGAAGGGATAGGAGGAGGGTAAGAATCATCCTAAAGAGCTGTCTGGTTAGGTCCATCATTTTGCCCCTCATAAATTTTAGCTGCAAAGCATGGTAGCAAGATGCACAGTCATTAATGAACCATGATCTCTGTATTATTTATTATACTTTATAAGATAAAATAAATTCATGACTTTGTGGTACTGTTGAAGAGTTATTTAAACACTCGCCAAAGTCATGCTTTTTCCTATTTGTCATATTCCTAATTTTTTAAATCCTATTCCCTTGTTGTCTCCTCTGCCATTAGGCTTTCTTTACCAGTTTTTCTAGGTAGGCCCATACAGCCAGATCATTGTCCTGGTCCCAATCTTGGAGAAATTCAAAAGTGTTGTAGAAAAAAACACGTTTTGTGGCACTGGCAGGGACTTCCTTTGAGAACGATATCCTCACCTCCAGAGATTTCTTAATAGCTGACAACTATAAATTATTTTTGTTCTTCATTTACTTTATATGTGTGGTACCAGTTATAAATGATTTTCACAAACTTGCCTTTCTCTGAATCTTCTACAATTGACTGTGGTTTTAAAACTGCTCCATCAACTCTTCTGTAAATAGGTTTTGAGGAAAATAAATCTTTTGACAGTTTTCCTCCTGTCCTTCTTGTCCATCTTGATCAACATGCCACATCAAAAGTCATTGCAGGTGATGGTTCTCACCCGAAAAGCAGTCCCCATTGGTCCATAGCCTTTGGACCTCGCGTGGCCCTGGAAGGCCCCCAGGGTAAAGGACGTCAGTCAGCATGGCGTAACTGTCTTCCACTGCCCAGAACTCCGGCCTGTGCAGCGCATGACTTGGTTTTCTCACCACACCTACCTTGTGCCCTACAGGGTCTATTTTTGGTATAGGTGATTTCTTTTACTTTTCATTAAAAAGAAGCAGACAGACAAGGAAGAAGAAACACACCTCTGTTTTGGGCTTTACCTCCTCCTCACTGTCATTTTACTAATCCCTGAATGCCTGATGATTTAT